TAGTTTCCCCAAAAGAAAATTAAAAGGTAGGACACAATAGAACACGATGAAGAATGTGTACATTGTTTCACCCTATTGGTAAAGAAATTGTACAGGAATATAGCAACCAGTTCCAAGACCAATTATACATTTTTTTTGTTGGCTAAATTTGGGTAGACATTGTCTAGAAAGGACCTTTTTCCTTTGAATAATTCTTGGTGTACATAAAATTTGGTACATAGGGGTGTCCACACCCTTACATAGGGGTGTCCCACATATGAGGGTATGATGTACATGTTGCATCTCCCCCACATGTGAGGGTGTGGACATCCCTACGTACTTCATTTTATGTACATGTTGTATGTCTCTTGAGTCCTACCTCCATGTGAGGGTGTGGATACCCCTATATACCCCATTTTATGTACATGTTGCATGTCCCTTTTCCAGTTTTCCTTTTGACCTTTTAGATAGTTTGACGGATTCTTAGTCTCTGCGCAATATTTACAAATTACACGCTTGAAGATGATAATGAGTTTTGGTTTTTGAGAGTTGAGGGGACTGTACTTGTATAACTTGTATGGGTCCAGAAATTAACTATATTTTTAGAACAAAAAAATAATAGAATCTCTATTGAAAAGGGATAAGAAGCATAGTGGGAATTTTAGCACGGTGAATCACACGTGTGATTTTATTTGATTTTTAGAAAAGACAGAAATGGTCCATGATTGGTAAAATATTTGATTGCTCTATGATTTTATTTGGATTTTAAGAAGGAAGTTTGATGCTAAGTAAGCATATTTTTTTTTTGTAACTTAAAAAATGTCTATTTGTTGGTTAAACTTAAAAAAAAAAAAAACAAATAAGTTACTGATATTAATATTAAGGTCTACCTTATTATAACTCTGCTTCTGTATTTTTTATTTGCTGAAGTAATTTTTTAAAACAAATCCTACAAGTTCAACTATTTATAAGCTATATGCACTATTCTCTTGTGTGGTGACAAAATATAATGCAAAAGTTGTAAATGTTCGTTGTTTATCAGCTATCAATGAAATTTAAAATTTTTTGAATAGTAATTATACTTTCAAGGTTATTTTTCCATGATCGATAAATAAAGTTGTCACCATTTCGATTCGTCTTATAAATTATAATAATTCTGCTTGCCACATCAACCAAATTGTTAATTTCCAAATGTAACTAGAATGAATAATGGATGAAATACTGTGTTCAGGAAAAAATTTAAATATTATTGCCGGTTTAAAAATGACTTAAGGGTTCGTTTGTTAGAGTTTTAAAAAAGTTAAAAGCTATTTTTATCGAAAACTGCTTTTAAACCTATTTGATTATAATTTTATGAAAGTGCTTATTTTGTTAGTTATTAAAATAGATTTTAGAGGAAGTTGGTGAACGTGTCTTTCTCTAATTCTTTTATAGAAAGCAAAAGTAAAAATAAAAATAAAAATCATGTCAAACGTATAATAAAAATACTTGCTTAAAGAACTTATAAAAAATTAATTTAAGATATCTTCTTCTATCATCTCTTGCCATGCTTCTCCTAAAACGAGATAATTAAATCATTGCTCACCAACATTTATTTTGGATTACCACTTGCTTGTCCAATTAAAAAAAGTTACTCGTTGCTCACTCATCTTTCCAAAGGTTTACCCATCCATCACTCCTTTCAAATCCGTTACCCACAATTAACGGAAATCGCCACATATACAATGGAAAGCTAATTTGGCATATTTAGAGTTAATTTGAAAACTCAAAATTGCCCAAAATTGAAATCGAATAAGCAAATGTGGAAATACAATTTCGAACTTCAGAATGGTACCATTGAGACCCAGAAGGATGTATTGGAGAGGGTTTGCAACAGAGCCAAAGCATGGTGAAAGAATTCTCACCAGCCAACAGAAGTCATCTTGAAGAAAGTGGTAGTTGCACTTGAAAAGGAAGAGAATGCTGCTGAGAACAAGAACTAGTTTGTTGTAATTTCAATCAATCACTTTCCTGGTTTTAATCAACACCAATGTCGATCTTCATTCTTGCCACGGTCAAATCTGTATTGACATTTTAATCAACAACTTCAAAGTTTCAAATTGGCACTGAAGAAAAGAAGGCTTCTTTTGCTATGGTCGTGGTTACTCTTGATCAGAGCGTTTTCTATCTAACAATGTAAAGTTTATAACTATATATCCAGACAATTTTTTAAACTCGAAGTACTGAATTATATTTGTTTGATCGACTAGAATGGCTAATTCCCGACATTGACTATCATGACAAGGGCAATGACCCTATATTTTGAATTTTGCAGGGAATAGCAATGGGAAAAAGTATGGAAGTCAATTTGTCAGCAAACTAGACATTGCAGATGCAGAGCCACTTCAACGGGGTTCCTCCAAAGCTACTTTTTGCTACTGTAGCATTATCAGGATTCGATAACTCAACTGTCTCTACTTCCCCGCTATTGTTCATGAACTGCAAATCTCGAATGCTATAAAATCTTCCTCCTTCCTCATCATCATCATCTTCTTCTTCTAGATTAAGGTTTTCTTTGCACAATTGGGAATTTCATTTTTGGGCAGTTTTGTGTTTACAGTTTGGAGATTTTGATTTTAACAGTTAAATAAAGCAAGCGTGTTCGAGACAGGTGGACAAATTAATGGACAAAATATGTCAAATCAGCTTTCTGTTGTATATGTGGCGATTTCCGTTGATAGTGGGTAATGGATTTGAAAAAAGTGATGAATGGATAAACATTTGGAAAGACGAGTGAGCAACATGTAATTTTTTTTGATTGAATGAGCAAGTGGTAATCTTAGTTGGTGAGGAATGATTTAATTATCTCTAAAACTACCGAAACCATTAATCCTAATATCATTTTCCACTTGTCACCTCCTCTTCCTCAGCGGCGGACCCAACACTCTACGAGGGGGCTCATCCGCTTGTGCATGGCTCCGCCGGAACAATGATCTGAAGTGAGGAAGAAGGAGACCAGAGCAAGAGACCGAGGCGAGGGTTTTTTCTCATTTTTGTTTTGTTTTGTAATGGGATCTTTTAGTTGGGTTGAAATTAAAATGTATTGTAGTTAGGCCTTATCTTTACAAGAGTTAAGCTACACGGACAGACA